AAAAACACATTCTCCACAAAGTTCAGAAAGTACCCCAAAACATAACACATCCCCCAAAATGTTACATCCCCGGATAGCCATGATCTGGGTGAACAACATATCCAAAAATCACCCAGATCAGAGCAGGAGTTCAAAATTTTCATGAAAGTCTCTTTTTGACCAGCCGGCGGCATTGCTTCATGCCCAAAATAGTTCCAGAGAATTAGGCTTTGTAGGCAGTCTATTTCCAATGATAAAAGTGCACTTCAAATAGTCGAACGGGACCATTCATGCACAAAGTCAGAGTTGAAGTGTGTTCGGTAGATTATTTCTACCGAACGGCGCTCTGTACATGCATATTTAGCCGAGCATAGATGGAGGTGGAAGTCCCAGCAGTGTTCGTGCCATCGAGTGTCCGATTTCAGTTCCATGAACTCGACGGTAAAACAACGTTGACCGCGTTCGATTAAAAAAGATGGCCGCCACATGTTCGACTATATGAACGGTGACCACCCAGCTGTTCATCAATTAAGCGCTTGTTTACCACTAGTCCTGGGAGGTCAACAAGCTGCACACTCCATTTGCGAGTGGTCTGACAGTTCGACGGTTTGTTCAGTAAACAAACACCATAAACCTAATCCATTCGGTAAGTCCGATATAATGCACCATAGCAGGGAAAAAATCATGAACCGTATATTTAGCCCAAAGTTCACTACAGGGCCATAGTCACAGGGCAGGAAGCTGCCAAAAAGGCCTCTTCAAAAGCTTGTGGCAAACTAAGAGGCAAAGGGGAGTTTGTCACAATTGTCATTCAATTTCTCCCCCAACTCCTCAAATATCTCTACTGAGCCCAGCCAGAAAATATGTACATCCATATACCGTATTCGGTACCATATACCGGTGCCATTTGTGGATATATGTCCCATAGTGATCTGTGATGGTTTCTTCTAGAATGGTCTCTTCCCACCAGCCCAAGTAGAGGTTTGCATAGCTTGGGGCACAAGCCATACCCATAGCTGTGCCCCTAAACTGTAGATAATATTGTCCATTAAACACAAAAGAATTGTGCGTAAGGATAAATTCAAGTAGTTGAATTATGAACTCTCTTTGAGCTGGTGTAAACTCAGAGGTTTTGTTTGGAAAGTAAGAGGTTGCTATAAGGCCCTTATCATGGGGAATGTTATTTTATAATGTTACCACATCAAGGCTTGCCAGCATAGGGTAGGGGGTACTTCAAATTTTGTAGTAGTCTCTCTGGGAATTGGCTACCTCTTTCCGTTATTGAACCATTTCCAGAGATGATAGGTCTTCATGGAGGGTTCTGTGCATCCTTGTGTATCTTTGGAAGGCAGTAGAAGGTGGAAATTATTGGGTTTAGATGTGGTAGAATAAATTAATCCCAGAGAAATGCACTCAGAGGGCTTGTAGTCTTGTGCAATATGTCCTTTATTTGTGCAAAGATACAGTCAACGTTTTAGTCCGTCTTGAAAAAAAGTCTTGTCTTGAAAAAAGTCCAAGTCAGACTGAAACATTGACTGTACCTTTGCACACAAAAAATGATATATTGCACAAGGCTACAAGCCCTTTGAGTGCATTTCTCTGGGACGTTGTATTGGTGTAAGAAATAGGGTGATAGCATAATCTTGAAACAAATAGGGTCACAGCAAGTAAACCTCGGCCACTAAAGGGGTATTTTCAGGTCACCTTTGTGCAGGGCCGTCTACTGAAGCTTGCCAAGGAAGATAGGCTATACTCCCTTGAGGCAGAAAGTAACAGCCTTCATGTAAGCCAAAAAGAAAGATTCTTAGAATTACCAATTATGTCCTAGGGATAGGACAGGAGCAAACAAACTGAGGGTGGGAGGGGTGGGAGGGGGTATTTAAAAAATTTGCTTTAATTAGGTTCCTGTCTAATTAGGGATAGGGAGGAACTACCCATTGTTGTGTTGCCATGGATATGGTCAGGAAATATATATATTTCTATGTGGTTTTTTTATGCATATTATTTTAAGTTGGCATATCATAACTTGTAATTCGTTGGGATGAAATCATTCTGACTGATGACATCATGCTTGTAAATTGCTGCGTTTCTACTTTTGAAGATCTATGTGTAGTGTGTGTGGCCTCCACGTGCCTGTATGACCTCCCTACAATGCCTGTGCATTCTCCTGATGAGGTGGCGGATGATCTCCTGAGGGATCTCCTGCCAGACCTGGACTAAACCATCTGCCAACTCCTGGACAGTCTATGGTGCAATGTGACGTTGGTGGATGGAGCGAGACATGATGTCCCAGATGTGCTCAATTGGATTTAGGTCTGGGGAACGGGCGGGCCAGTCCATTGGATCAATGCCTTTGTCTTCCAGGAACTGCTGACACTCTCCAGCCACATGAGGAGGAAGCCAGGGCCAACCGCACCAGCATATGGTCTCACAAGGGGTTTGAGGATCTCATCTCGGTACCTAATGGCAGTCAGGCTACCTCTGGCGAGCACATGGAGGGCTGTGCAGCCCCCCAAAGAAATGCCACCCCACACTATTACTGACCCACTGCCAAACCGGTCATGCTGGAGGATGTTGCAGGCAGCAGAAGGTTCTCCACGGCATCTCCAGACTCTGTCACATCTGTCACGTGCTCAGTGTGAACCTGCTTTCATCTGTGAAGAGCACAGGGCGCCAGTGGCGAATTTGCCAATCTTGGTGTTCTCTGGAAAATGCCAAAAGTCCTGCACAGTGTTGGGCTGTAAGCACAACCCCCACCTGTGGACGTCGGGCCCTCATACCACCCTCATGGAGTCTGTTTCTGACTGTTTGAGCAGACACATGCACATTTATGGCCTACGGGAGGTCATTTTGCAGGGCTCTGGCAGTGCTCCTCCTGTTCCTCCTTGCACAAAGGCGGAGGTAGCGGTCCTGCTGCTGGGTTGTTGCCCTTCTACGGCCTCCTCCGTGTTTCCTGATGTACTGGCCTGTCTGCTGGTAGCGCCTCCATGCTCTGGACACTACGCTGACAGACACAGCAAACCTTCTTGCCACAGTTCGCATTGATGTGCCATCCTGCATGAGCTACACTACTTGTGTGGGTTGTAGACTCCGTCTCATGCTACCACTAGAGTGAAAGCACCACCAGCATTCAAAAGAGACCAAAACATCAGCCAGGAAGCATAGGAATTGAGAAGTGGTCTATGGTCACCACCTGCAGAACCACTCCATAATAAGGGGTGTCTTGCTAATTGCTTATAATTTACACCTGTTGTCTATCCCATTTGCACAACAGCATGTGAAATTGATTGCCACTCAGTGTTGCTTCCTATGTGGACAGTTTGATTTCACAGAAGTGTGATTGACTTGGATTTACATTGTGTTGTTTAAGTGTTCCCTTTATTTTTTTGAGCAGTGTGTGTGTGTATATATATATATATATATATATATATATATATATATGTGTGTGTGTGTGTGTATATATATATATATATATATATATATATATATGTGTGTGTGTGTGTGTGTGTGTGTATATATATATATATCTGTTGGAAGGCCATTTGGCCTGAATTTGTGGGAGGAGTTATGATCCTATATAAACCCTACCTCCCTACTTACCTTTGTCGTGCAAGCTGTTTGTCGTCTCCATAGTTACCAGCACTTCCGGTTTGTCGTTCCCGCCAAGTCCTGTCTCAAGCTGTCTCCAGCAAGCAGTCCGTCGCCAGCAGCTACCGGCTTCTACCCGGCTCCGCCACTTGCTACCCGGCTTCCGGTCACGAGACCGCCACGTCCGCGTAAGCATAAACGTGGGAAATGGCGTTTGGCTATTTCCCACGTTTGGGCCTAAAAACGTGGGGATAGGCTCCCTTTATGACTTACCCATTCGTGCTTTTACTACCGACCGCACTAAATGAACTTACGTTCGACTATAGCATCCGTTCGTTCATTTGTTCAATCATCCGACCACAGGTACAATTGGCTTTCGTTTTAAAATCTGTTTTGTATGCTCCATTTAGCTGAACGCAGGAGTATCAGGTAAGATGGTTTACCAGTTCTGTTTTCCCTCAAGGCCTCATTCAGCCTCCACGGCCTCATTCAGCCTCCCCACCTCCCAAAGTGGGTTCTAAACTTCAAATGGGTCAGATCTGTGTTTCCTCACTGCGATTATAACATCGAATATAACATGCGATTATAATCACACAAACCTACACTATACTTTTCTTCAAGCAAAGCTCCAAGAAGAGGTTCCTAGTATCAGGTAAGAAGGTTTACCAGTTCTCTTTTCCCTTGAGGCCTCATTCAGCCTCCACGGTCTCATATAGCCCCCCACCTCCCAAAGTGGATTCTAACCTTCAAAACGTACCTGGTCTAAGATTCCTCACAAATGTCAACAACAACCTCATTATCATAATCCACCGTATTACTACCATATTTAACGGTACATGTTTTTTGTCATTCATTTCTACATATCATTACTTAGACCTGCATCATTACCGCGGCTCGCCAAGTCCTACGCCATCGACAACATACAGGCTACCTGGTTCCCTGCATTACAGTATCATGTATTGGATAATCTTACTCACTACGTTTACGTTTCTTCTTAAGGCCTCACTTCGCCTTCGTTTCATTCAAAAATATTCACATTTGTGGGAACCCAGGGGCTTGTCTCTAATTTACGGACCTACGTTCAGGTCCCTCAGCTTACCCAAGTTCTTACGTTACAGTATCTCTGATACACACCTACCCATACGTTCAAAATTTTTACACTCATTATACTAGTGGCACGCCTCAGGCCCACTAGCATCTTTTTCCCCTAAGGTTTCCCGGACCTGCCCGTTCCCTGCAGAAGCAAGACTATATTGTAATCTTCCTGCGCATTGCCCAAAGAAAGAGGACAAACACTCAAGGTTAAGTATCTACATACGTTATATCACACCATTCTAAAAGACAAGCCCCATCAGGCTAGAGAACTGGCGTTGAGGGTTAGGCGCTGGCCTTAGCTATCCTAAGTACTACTACGGTCCTGCGAGGTCTACACCCCCACCTCATACACGAAGGTTCAGCCCCACGACCAAATCATAGTTAGCTACCTCGCTCGCCCTTCTTTAGGGCTACAGTTAGGGCTTCCCAAGTCACGGCCGCACGTTTTAAATCTCTTACGGTCACCGAGAGGCCGACACCCTGCCACCACGTTCAAGTGGCCACAAAATTCCCTCAGCCCAAATCATAGGTAGAGCCTCTCTCCGCCACTTGGCACTAGCAGGGCCTCACCTGTCACATGGTTCTAGAAAATGTTTTCGCTTCGGCATTAGCTAGCAGGCCAGTTCTCCGAAGGTCTCATCCACCACACCTCTAAGACACATTACTTATCCAAATCATTTATTTTATTTTTCAGAATGTCACAAGAATCTATCCCAATAATCGGTCTGCTGTTGGACGAAATACCCAGCACACTAGTCAGGCCTGGGTCTCCAAAGGAATCCATCTCTCCCCTTCTACCCTCAGTTACCTGGGATACTGGTACATTCCAAAAATGTCAGCAGAGCTCAGTCACAGGAGTATCCCATCTCCAGCCACTACCAGTAAGGCAGGACTACACAGGCTCATGACGGCTCAGGCCAACGTCCCCAGGCCCGGCTCTAGTTCACAAGGGCCATCAGATTCCAATCAGGAGACCCCGGTCGCTATCCCTGCCAGCCTCCAAATGATCAACAGGCTGATAAGTGGAATCGACTATAGCCACACCAGGTGTCTCATTAAGCCTGGCAGGCCCTCACCTGATGATCTCGGTCATACAGTCTGACTTACCCCTCATTTCCCTCCACATCCCCCACCATCCACTATCACTACTCCATACGTCTCACCGGCCCACTCTGTTTCAATCACACGGGCTTTATATCCATTCCCACAGGTACACTCATATGCCCCAACCTATTATCTACATCCATTGACCCTCTAACGGTGGACCACCTTCTGTCCACAGCAATCGTACGCTGGTTTCACGATCGCCTCTTTTCCGGTCCTCACACTTCTCATCTTGCCGTACCATTCCCATCGAGGTAGCCATGCACAATACCCTTTAATACGTCTGTTAATAGTCCCCTTCCGCACCGCACTCTACTTCCATTCCCAGCATCAAAACTCCTCATTCCTGTTAAGGAGATCTCACTGCACTACGCAAATCGACCATGCCATACAAGCTATCACTTCAGCAAGTAGTAAGGCTTGGTTGAGCAAGTCAGACTTATCCAACGCCTTTAACCCCTTAAAGACACATGTCATGTGTGACATGTCATAGTTCCCCCTTTTATTCCACAAGTTTGGTCCTTAAGGGGTTAATCTACTACCTATTCACTCTCCACAATGGCACCTTGTCTACCTTTGGCTCTAGGAGCAGCCCTAAGTATTCAACATCTTCGCACAAAAACTCTGCTGGCCGCTCCTAAAATATTCAGGTCATCCACTATCTGGATGAATTTTTTGTTGATTTAGCAGGTTCACAAACACCCAACAGTGTTCACACCACCACAGCCTCCTTTTCAGAACACTCGGGGTCCCTCTGTCACCAGGCAACCTCGGGTTAGGGATGCATGGCCCACTGTGACGAATGCCTTGCCGGCCTTTAGAGAGACTTCTTCTTTTTCAGAGATCTACCCCAACGTGGCGGCCACCCTCACATGGGGTCATCTTTGGACCGGCAAGGCAGTTAAATGCTGCTCTGACAACTCCGCAGCCTGCGATTTCATTAGCAAGGGCGGTCATACTCGCCTCCACTGTGGCTGATTCGCAGGCTGATTTGGCAGGTAGCAACCCCTCAGTTCTTTCTAGTCTACAATTTTATTCCTGGTGTCCACTACACAACTGCTGACACTTTGCACGCTCTCAAGTTAAGGTTTTCTTTCAGGCACTCCCTACGATCCACTACATACCATCCAAGATACCACCATTCCATGAGCTAATCTTGGACTAAGCACACAATTTTACCACATACTGGTGTGCACGTTTCACGACTACTCTTTCTCTCACGTCAGGGCCTTGTACATTGTACATGTCACAATTAGAGTTTGCTTGAATCAAGACTTTTGCAGTTACAATATGTTTTTTTTTTTGCCTCTTTCTCCAAACCTACAAATCAAACATCTTACTTAAAACTCCTATGCTGTCACACCGCTTTATGTCTTCAAGGTCAATGACATACTATCAGTCCTAATCCACTACTCCACGTCTAAACCTTCCATTAAGGTGGAGATACATCATGGCTTCCTTCGCTGGTCTTTCTGTCACAAAGTGCTGCATCAGCAGCTTCAAGCTCTTACACTCCAGTCTACATCACTAAGTGATGGGGCCACGGATAATCCTCAGCGCAGTTACATATATACCTCAATCAGAGTAAAAGCTCCTTACAAGCTTTCAGTACCCACGCTGTATTTAACTTGCATAAAGTGTGTTTTCTTTGAATCCTCTTTTTGCCCTCTTTTACAGGCCTACTCGGACGTTGGTTTCGGCACACCTCAACCAACTTTGCTTCTCTTTCTACATTCCATTCCATTACGTATTAGATAAATTCCGAGCACAAGCTGGAAGACCATTTGGCCTGAATTTGTGGGAGGAGTTATGATCCTATAAAAACCCTACCCCCCTACTTACCTTTGTCGTGCAAGCTGTTTGTCCCCACCCACCTACACCCATATATATAAACAATTCACCTTTGTGGGCCCTCTTTTACAGGCCTACTCGTACGTTGGTTTTGGCACACCTCAACCAACTTTGCTTCTCTTTCTACATTCCATTCCATTACGTATTAGATAAATTCTGAGCACAATTATATATATATATATAATACAAAAAATAAAGTGCACCCACAGGATTTTTTGTGGAAAAAAATGGTAGATTTTATTGCATGTGGGCAAAAAAAATTAACACTCTGTCCCGATCAACATATATATTAAATTCTTAGTTGGCATATACCTTGTATTTCATTGGAGTGAGGTCATTCTAACGGTCACTATTGCATTTCATTTTTTAAAATTCACCAATGTATGGATGATGTATTTGTGTGCTGCCTGCCTCATCTAAAACAAACCAATAGCTGGCAGTAAGTTGGTGATAAATGCTGCTTCTGTGCTACTAGAAGAAAAAGTGTCTTTCCACCTTATGTATGAAAGGTGCCACCCTATGTATGTGTAGCACACATGTAATTATCTGTCTCTCTACGTCAATGTGTGGGCCTAGTCAGTATGTGAGTGACACTGGGGATTTTAGATCTATCATTATCATCTATAGTCCTACACTTAGCAAATTCATTGTCTTTTAACCAAAGCACTAACAGGAGAGTGAAATTCAATGACCATATCTGTGATATTTTCACCACTGTTAAAGGGACTCTCCAGTGCCAGCAACACATATTCGTTTTCCTGGCACTGCAGAACCCTTCAGTGCCCCTCTCCCTCCCACCCCCATCCCATGTTGCTGAAGAAGTTAAAACCCCTTCCGTGAATTACCTAAGTCCAATGCCGATGTCCCTGGGCACTGTGTGAGGCTCCTCCTACTCTCCTTCCCTGCCTACGTCAGCCAGCGGGGGAGACCTAATGCACATGCGCGGCAATGGCCGCCCACGCGCATTAGACCTCCCCATAGGAAAGCATTATTCAATGCTTTCCCATGGGGATTTCGGCGATGCTGGAGGTCCTCACATAGCGTGAGGGCATCCAGCGTTGATAAAACACTTTTTGTGTTCTAAGAACACGGATGTCCCTCTAGTGGCCCTCTAGTGGCTGTTTGTATAAAAACTGCAATAATTACACTTGCAGGGTTAAGGGTGGTGGGAGCTGGCACCCAGAACACTCCAATGGGCAGAAGTGATCTGGGTGCCTGGAGTGTCCCTTTAAATAATGGGGAAACATGTGCTATAGGATAATAATGTCAGTGTTTCCTGTTATAAATTGTTCACCATTTTGTTTTCTGTTCCACTTTTGTTCTTTTGTATATATTTTATGAAAAAGTGGTTTGTCCAAAATAAAGTATACACACCTTAACACTGGTCACATACTACTTATTCATTAATTCTTGGGGCAGTCATTGCGGCAGTCGTTTGTACAAACGTGTTAATGATGAACACTTAATACACAGAGATTTGTTAGGAATTCTGTTATTAATTCAAGGTGAATTTCAAATGCTGGATCAGAATGGGAAAATTGGAAAAAAATCTCCACGTCATCTATATTTTCAATAAGGCTACTTTTTTTTTGTTTGTTTTTTTACTTTGCCTTGAATTCTGACTGAATTACCAGCAATTCACACTTTATTAGATATCCCTTTTCATTTGGATTTATTATGTTGTGGGTATGGGTAGACAAATTGCAACCATATCACCATTGTGTTATATGTGTTATATATTGCACAAACACAGTGTGAAAAACTAAAACGGTGGGTATTTTGGGATATATGTAGGTGTAGTAAACATAAAGGTATTGCTATGAAAATGTAGTCTGTCAAAAGTTTTGTTGTATTCTTTAACCCCTTAAGGACCAAACTTCTGGAATAAAAGGGAATCATGACATGTCACACATGTCTTGTGTCCTTAAGGGGTTAAACAGGATGAATGGCTGTGGAATTTGTTGACATTACATAGGTAAAAGATGATAATAATGAAGATAAAGTGTATTACACATCAAATGTTTGGACGATATGGTTATTAGTGATAATAGAGTGGATTTTTCAAGAGGGTTATACTTCTAGTTATACTTACATTTTGGATTGCATTGTAACATTTAGAGGAGGCTGGTTGCCATACACACACTGTACTTCAGGTTCAAAGTGTAGCAAAATAATTGAAGGTAATGGTTAGTAATGCAACCAAACAACTGTGCTTTCAATGTTCGTTCCTATTTATTATAGTAATGTGTTGGAGGCAGGCATCCAGAGTGCTCTTTCTGGTACATATATCCCAATGTGCAATGTATTTAAGCAGGGGACAGATACTGCTACATCCAACAATGTGCCTATGTGGTCTAGGGATCATTGAATGCTACATACAAAGTGGAGTCTTGCACTGCTGCTGGCAACAATGATGCTCTGCTTACTGAATGGCAGGTACAGCAATATGTTTCATGGGAACTCTGCTATTACTGATGCCCTCAGTGATCAGTGATAAAATGTAAGGGTGTGGGAGACCTGCTTGGTATTTCCACTGACTGGAAAGTACCCTTGCTGTGTAATCATGTCGTGGTGATTTTGGAAGAATTAGGGGTTGGCTACTACTAACGCTCCCAAATTCAG